TAGACTGATAATTTGTTCCATTGTATCTGAAGAAGTGTGCATGCACACAAAAGCTTATACCTAGAATAAAACATCTAGAAATAGTGAAAAACTTTCACAGGAGGGTTTTCTCCCCAATGCTCCACCAAATTTCCCAACTTTTCCACTAAAAACTAAAAAACTATAAAAGTCCTCAGACTTTTTAATGCTATCCATTTTGAATATAGAAAACGGACCTTTGGATACTCACTGTGAAGGGTCCTTCTCCTCTGAGGAAAGGAGGACAATCTTGGTTAGTGATTCCCACCACCCTTTCAGGAAGGCAGGAGCAACTTTCCCCCTCTTCCTGTCTGTGCTGTGGGAGTCGCCCGCCTTCTCAGTTCTGTCCCTGCCTCAACAGGGAAAGCAGTTCTAGCCCAGGCTTTACCTTCTCTTTGTCTTTCTAAAAGCCTTTAATTATCCCTCCTCCTCTTACTGCCTCTTCTCTACACTCCCTTCCCTGTTCTCATTCTATTTCCTCTAACTCAACTTTTCACTCCCTGATCTTTCATTCTTCGAAACCTAAGGACCAACCATCCTGTGTGGGTTTTTTTTTTGCTTCAACAGACTAACACACCTATCTAAATGAAACTATGTCATAGGCCCCGGTCACACGGGCAGGAAACTGCGGGGGAGAAGCGTGGCTGTTTGCCCTGGGGCAAACTACTGCGCAGTTACGCGATCAGACCTCCCGTGGAGGTCCTGTGGAGGTACCGTGGAGGTTCCATGGCAAGGGAGAGGTGCTGATCACAGGACAAGCCGGCGCGCAATGAAGAAGCGCGCGCAAACTGTTTTTTTTTGTGTGTACACGACAAATGCGCATGCTCTGTTGGGTGCGTGTGCGCATTCACAGAGACTTGGACAAAAAAACCCCCACCTTATTTGCAAGGGGACATGGGCGGGCGCCGGATGCCACCGGAAACGCGATCAGACGCCTGCCCTTGCCCCGCAGTTTCCGGAAACTAGTACCTCCGAGGTACTAGTTTTTTGCCACGCAGTTTCGGCTGGAAGCCTCGGTTGAGCCACGGGAGTGCTACGCTTCTCAGCTGTGCTGGTGAGATCGCGCCCGGAAACTCCACCTGTTTTCCATCTCACTTGTGTGGCTTCTGTTCCGTGTGACCGCAGCCTATGTCTTTTAATTCACACAAAGAGGTCAAAGAAGGCAACAAAGGTCCTGGTCACACAGCGAATTTGCTGCGGGAGAGCCACAGGTGGTGGGCGAATTATCGGGGCGCGATCACACCGCAACATATGGCAAGTGCAGCGCACCCGTGGCTAACCCGTGGCATACCGCCGAAAAAGCACAATTAAAAAAACAGTACCTCGTATGTAGTGGCAAACGGTTTGCCACAGGCTGCCTCCGGGCTCCTGCGGTGTGATTGCGCTGGCCCCTCGTTAATGCGCAGGCGGGGAGGACAGGACCCGTGGTTTGCCGCCGACGTGTCGGATTGCGTTCTGGCGGCTCTAATTGCACTGGAGCAATTAGCCACACCTCCCCCCCGCATTATCTGGCCCGTGTGACCGGGGCCAAACTTCATTAAGTAAGTAAAGTCACTGCTGAGAGATATTTTGACACATGACTAGTTTACATTCTCCAACTGCTAGCAAGATTACAGTGAACTTACTACTAGCTATCTACCTGTTTCTAAGCAATCCTAAGCAAGTCTACTCAGAATCCAACTGAAATCTACTCAGTCGGGCTTACTCCCAGGAAAGTGTTCTAAGGATTGCCCTGTTAATTACTAAGGTTATCTCTATTTTCTGTAAATTCATCTATCAAAAGGGTTTCTTGTCAAGATAATTAAGTGAGCAGTTCATCCATATAACTTTACCAGTTTCGAAATCATATTGAAACTGCCATTTTTGCAGATAAGACTTCACGTTACATTTTTACTATGTAATTACCACATCTACTTTAGGATAGTCAACACCATGTGTAATCAAATCAATTTTGCCACAGTCTTTCATAGTTCCCCATTATGCATACTTATGCCAGAATAGATGATTTGTGGTAATCACATGAAATGAGGTGGCATGATCTGTACAGAAAATTAGGTAGCATGGGAACTGAACTTTTCCAAATGCCTTTGAACTACTGTGATTGTGACTGAGCAGATCAAAAGTTCTCTCTTATTCCCCAGACACTGCAACATAGTTGTAGCAAGAACCTTCTACGTAAATACTGAACCTCTACAGCTTTTATTTCACTGAAGTATTACGGTACAATATGTAGAGAGAGTTTTAGGCTGCTAGAGTCCTTTTTTTTTTTTTTTTGCAGTTCCCACAATCTTATTGACATTTTCAGGATTTAACAAGGTCAGCTGCAAAAGAGTACTCCAGTAGCCCATCCTAATTCTAAATACCTCACTGATCAAGCAGAAAATACGTACCAGAAAAGAACACATATATGAAAGCCTGTATAAGAAACTAGGCGGGAAGTTTGAAAGAAACAGTATTGCCTTTTGCACTCTGCTATACTTTAAGAACTGGAAAAAAAAAACAGAATTCCTAAAGAAGCTGCGGTGGCTCAAGTGGTTAAGACACTGATCTGCAGGCTGTGGAAGGTTGGTAGTTTAGCAGTTTGAGACCCAAGTGTGCTGCATGACGGAGTGAGCTCCCGTCTCTAGTTCCAGCTCCTGCCAACCTAGCAGTTCGAAAGCAAGAAATTGCAAGTAGATAAATAGGTACCACTTCAGTGGGAAGGTAACAGCGTTCCGTGCGCCTTGGTGTTTAGTCATGCCGGCCACATGACCACGGAAATTTCTTCGGACAGCGCTGGCTCTTCGGCTTTAAAACGGAGATGAGCACCGCAACCCTAGAGTCGGATTCGACTGGCTTTCGAGCAAGGGAACCTTTACTTTTTTTATATACTTTAAGAACTGGGGGGAAAAAAAATCAGAATTCTTTAAGAAAAGCTTTTACAGAAAGCTCAGAGGTTAAGACACTGAAGCTGCAGACCAGAAGGTCTGTTTGAGAATCGAGACCTGAGTGCCACATGATGGATTGAGCTCCTGTCTCTGGCCCCAACTCCTGCCAACCTAGTTGTTCAAAAGCAAGAAACTTCAAGTAGATAAATAGGTACCGCTTTGGTGGTAAGGTAAAAGCGTTCCGTGCACTTTGGTGTTTAGTCATGCCGGCCACATGACCATCGAAATATCTTCGGACAGCGCTGGCTCTTCAGCTTGAAAACAGAGATGAGCACTGCCTCCTAGGGATTCAACTAGCTTTCGAGCAAGGGAAACCTTTACCTTTTTATCAGAGTAACATAAACATTACACAGTTCATTTACTGAACTGCAAAGGAACTGAACAAAAATTAAGCTATTCTGGCAACCAAGACAGATTTCCAAGTTAGAAATGGACAGCTTGAGATAAATGGAACTTAAAACCTTTCCCAGAAAATGGGGAATACCAATGTAACTTTCTTTTAAGATGAGAAACATGCTCCTTCCTATGAATATTAGTATTGTATGATCTCCATATTCAGCCACTAAGACAAAGACAGGATGGAGAAAACATCTGTGGCAAAAGGCAAAAAGGAAAATATCAACAGTAATTAAAATGTATATCACATTTTCATTACAGTAAAAAGTTGTGCTAAACCACTGAAATCTGTGAGTTTAAGAGACCAAATCTTTCTTGGATTGTGGCCTTAAAGTGTACACTACATTTCAAATCACCATACACAGTGATGATGACATGTCAATACTGTAACGATCAGCCAAGGCACTTCACATTCATTATCTTAATGATCAAAACAACATTGCTGTTTTACAATCTGCCAAATGTCAGGCAGGGTCTACAACTCCATCAGTTCCAAAATACGGGCTACATCTAGCCCATCTATATGTGCACAGATGTATGCATGCATAGTGTATCACACTTCCGACAAAACACATTCAAATGAAACTCTCTATACTACCTATCAACAGCTAGGAGCAGTCTTCAACCCCTCTAAACCTCCCAAATATTTTCCTCATTTAAAAAAAAATAATCTGGCTGCGGCTTGTAAGAGAGCCAGTTTGGTGTAGCGGTTAGGAGTGTGGACTCTAATCTGGGAGAACCGGGTTTGCTTCCCCACTCCTCCACATGCAGCTGCTGGTGTGACCTTAGATCAGCCACAAGTTTTCTCAGAGCTGTTCTCTCAAGGGCAGTTCTCTCAGCCCCACCTACCTCACAGGGTGTCTGTTGTGGGGAGGGAAAAAGAAAGGACATTGTAAGCCCCTCTGAGACTCCTTTGGGTAGTGAAGGGCAGGGTATAAATCCAATCTCCTCCTCCACCCCACCCCCAAACTTAGTTGCCTGCAGCCCTGACTATCTGCCTAAGGGTTGAACACGTCATGCACCTAACGAAGTGAGCTCTGACTCACAAAAACTTGTACAGAAACAAATCGGAATAACCTTTTAAGGCGACACTAGACACTTGCTTTATTTTGTTGGAACAGGTCCGGAATTAGCTGCTTCAGAAGGCACCAGTGCTCCCTAGCCTAGCAAGCCGGGCGCTGCCAAAGCGCGGCCGTTGCTGAGAAAACTGCCCAAAGTTACAGACTGAAAACCAAGCAAGCCCCAGCAGCAACGCCAACCCTCCAAGGGGCGCCCGGGAAACCGGAAGACGAGCGGTGCCAGCAGCACGGGGATGGTGCTGGGATGGCCCTAATTTCTGTAACGGATCTTTCCTTACGGCGGGGGGAGGGGAAGGCTCCTCCTCCTCCTCCGCTGTCTCATAGATTAGTGCCATATAACCCAAGCGCCAGTCGCCAGAAGCAGCGAGAAAGGCCAGGCTGCCGCCTCTGCAGAAGCACCAGCCACCCCCACCCCACCTCACCTCACCGCCGGAAGAGGAACGTGGCTCGGCCTCCGCTGCCCCTTTCCCCCGACTCGGCACAGCCGTCCGAGCACCTAACCCAGCGCGACACAGCCTCGACCGGCTCCCGGGGCCCCGGCAAGGCCTCCCCCCGCAAGACGGTCCCAGCCCCACAGTACCTGCGCCCCCCGCGTCAGGCCCCGGCCGCTGAGCTGCGCGTGCCGGAGCTGGGCCAAGATGCTGGCCGTCCCCCTGCGGGCTCCGCGCCGGCCGGGCCCGCCACACATGAGGCCCGCTGCCGCCGGCGGTGCTGCTCCTGCTCCTCCTACCGCTGCCGCCATAGCTGCCTCCTGCCCCTGGACGGAGACAAACAGGAAGCGCTCCTCCTCCCAAGCGCTTTGTACCCACCGCCTCCCAGGTTGTGCCACAGCGCCACCAGCAGGCCGCCTGTGCACAACGCTCAGTCGGCCTCCTCCCGCCCTTTCCCGATTGGTGGGGGAAACGGAAAGAAAGTGCGCACGTCTCCCCGAGAGGCCGATGGGAAGTGTAGTCTTGGTATGGCCGGCGAGCGAAGGGGAGAAAGCAAAAAGACATGTTGGGTTGGGTAGCGGCAACACGGAACGTGGAGCTGTCTTCTCTGCTCTAAAATGCAGGATTTCCAGGATGTTTTGTGATCCGCCTCTTATAAACGAGTACACGTGCGCTGCCTTTTTTAAAAAGACAATTAAATTAAATTAAATTAATGAGCAGGGTTCCACTTTTTTTAAAAAGACCATTAAATTAAATTAATGAGCAGGGTTCCATTAATCATCATGATAAAGGATTTATGCGTACTTCTGAATGCTCGTTGAATGATAGCCTTAGACTACCATAATGAAATAGTAGATATCACTTGATTTTGAGTTCTACTTTATTACCATTACCATTATCTATCAGCATCTAGTGCTCCACTCCGAGGTCTAAGCTGCCACAGAACCAATCCACAGTGAAGCAGACTCGGGCTTTGCCTTTTAAAATGATGGCTTTGGAGAAAAAGGTGTATATTTCAGAGCACATCCCTCCACAGTACTCTTCTGATCGCCTATCCCCTTGTGAAGTCCTTCCAGTTTCCATTCATTCGCAACGTGTCACTACAGGTACTGCTCTACGGCATGCAAGAGCTGTGAACTTGGAAAGTGCTTTCAACAGAAACCTCCCTTTTCAGCTTTTCACATCCCGCAGTCTGGAAGCTGCTGTTTAGAAGTGAGTCTAGAGATGCTAGCCTCTAGGTGGGACGTGGGAATCACCCGGAATTACAGCTCATCTGCAGACGACAGAAATGGAGAAAATGGATGCTTTGGAGGATGGATTCAATGGCATCACACCCCAATGAGGACCTTTTCTTCCCAGGCCCCATCCCCAAATCTCCAGTACTTTCCCAACCTGGATCAGGCACCCCCCCCCCAATCCCCTGCTTGTGGCCAGGGGGGACCTGGGAACCCTAGCAGATTACTCCTCTGTATTATGCTGAGGCTTTATCAGTTTGCTGATAAAGAGCCACCTAGGAGTACAAATCGATACAGTTTGAGACAGAGCTTTTCTAACTCAGGAACGACAACAAAAGATACAGTCTATGACAGAAAAGGTATTGAAGAGTCAAAAGATGGAGGTAATGACATTGGCACAACTGCAGGGCCTTATGGTGTCATGTCAGGAATTACTCCAATGGGCAAGGTTTCACACCCGTCCTCTACAGAGGTTTCTTCTGCCCTTTCAGGAGGTCATTGCAAACAAAAGGACAAGCTCCAGAGAGCCTCAAAACAGATTTGACCTGGTGGCGGGAACCCACGAGATTTCAACTGGGTGTTCCGCTACGGGCACCAAAGAGGGGGGTGAGGGCCCACGATGCCAGCCTTGTGGGATGGGGAGCTCATGTGCAAGGCAGAATGACTCAGGGAATCTGGTCATGCACGGACACGACACACAGCATGAACTTTCTGGAGTTACGTGCCATCAGGCTTATGATAGAAATTGAGGAGACCCAAAAATGATTGGAGCTCCTTCTTTGATTTAGGCGTTGGACCATTGTGGATTGCCCGAACCTTGCCGTCTGTAGGGTGGACACCATCAGCGTCGATCAGGAAACCAAGGAATTCGATCTGATGTACACCAATCTGGCATTTTTCGCGCTTTACCTTTAGTCCCGCCTCCTGGAACTGTTGGAGGACCTGTCGAAGGTGCACGCCCAACTTTTAGTTTGATTCGCCAGCAATGAACATGTCATCGAAATAGGGGACGACTCCAGGAATGTTTCGCAGGATACCTTCCATAAGGCCTTGAAAAAGTCCTGGGGCCACACTGACCCTGAACTGCAAACAGTTGACTTTGAAAGCCCCTCGATGTGTTATGATTGTTTGGGCTTCCGCTGTTTCAGGGGTGACAGGCAGCTGCTGGTAGGCCTGTGCTAGGTCAAGCTTGGCGAAGACCTTGCCTCCAGCCAACAAGGCTAAGATGTGACTTACAATTGGCACCGGGTAGGAGTGTTGCTGCAGAGCCCTGTTAATTGTGCAGTTATAGTCCACACAAATTCACACTGATCCATTGGGCTTGATCGGCGTCACTATAGGCATTTCCCACCTCGCATGTGAGACAGGCTCCAACACTCCCTGTGCGATGAGGCGATCGAGCTCCTCATTGATCCTGGCCTTCATGGAAAATGCCACCCGGTGTGACTTCAGGCGGACCGGCATGATGTTCGGGTTGAGATCGAAGGAGACTGGGGCCCCGGTATAACACTCCAAAGACCCGTCAAACACAGCAGGAAAGTTCTTACACACAGAGTCCAAGCTGTTGTGGGATACTTGTTGTACTCCCACTACATGGATGCCTAGAGCATCAAACCAGTCGAGTCCCAAAAGGCTTGCACAATAGCCCTCAGACGGCTTGGGCGTAAAATGGTCATGCAATTTCTTAGTGATTTCATCTAACGCAGTCGTTGAGAGTTCTGCAGGCACCACTAGCATCCGGGCCACGTCAAATATGCTTCTTCCCCACATGCTCAGGAACGTAGCCTTTCTCACCTCAGGATCAGTAACCTTGGTTGTCGTAGCGTAGAATTCGAACCTGGAGACGAAGGTGTCCCAGTCCTCGGAGCTTGCGTCGAATGGTTCGAACTGGCCCACAGTGGCCATGGTTTACTTGTTCTGCAGCAGAGGCAGCGGCGGTGGCGGTGGTGCTGGCTCGCTGGTGTCACGTGGGACCAAGGCAACTGTTCCTTGGTCATACGTCATGACTCACTCTTAGGGCCAAGGCGATAATTCCTTGCCCGGTCAGTGATTTGCTCTTATGGTTCTGGGGGGGTGCCTACCCACTGCATCCCATTCTTGTTGCCAGTATTATGAACTGAGATCGAGGCAGCTTTTCCAAAACAAGTGATTTCATTTTATTCAGCTCATGTTGTTGTTCAGTCGCACAGTCGAGTCCGACTCTTCGCGACCCCATGGACCAGCTCCCGCCAGGCCCTCCTGTCTTCCGCTGTCCTCTGAAGTTGGCTCAATTTCATGTTCGTTGCGTCGATGACACTGTCCAACCATCTCATCCTTTGCCATCCCCGTCTTCTTTGACCTTCAATCTTTCCCAGCATCAGGGTCTTCTCCAGTGAGTGCTCCCTTCTCATTTGGTGGGCAAAGTATTTGAGCTTCAGTTTCATTATCTGGCCTTCCAGGGAACAGTCAGGGTTGATTTCTTTTAGGATTGACTGATTTGATCTTCTTGCAGTCCAAGGGACTCTCAAGAGTCTTCTCCAGCACCATAGTTCAAAAGAATCTATTCTTCGGCGCTCGGCCTTCCTTATAGTCCAACTCTCGCAGCCATACATAACTACTGGGAATACCATTGCTTTGACCATGCGGACTTTTGTTGGCAGGGTGATGTCTCTACTTTTTATCATGCTGTTTAGGTTCGCCATCGCTTTCCTCCCAAGGAGCAGGCGTCTTTTAATTTCATGACTACTGTCACAGTCTGCAGTGATCTGGGATCCCAGGAACGTGAAGTCTGTCACCACTTCCACGACTTCCCCTTCTATTTGCCAAGGAGTGATGGGGCCGGATGCCATGATCTTAGTTTTTTTGATGTTGAGCTTCAAGCCCACTTTTGCGCTCTCCTCTTTTACTCTGAGCAAGAGGCTCTTTAGATCCTTTTCACTTTCAGCCATTAGAGTGGTATCATCTGCATATCTGAGGTTGTTGATCTTTTCCCCAGCAATCTTAATTCCCGCTTGTGATTCATCCAGGCCAGCATTTCGCATGATGTACTCTGCATATATATTAAATAAGCAAGGCGACAATATACATCCTTGTCGTACTCCTTTTCCTATGCTAAACCAATCAGTTGTTCCATATCCGGTTCTAACTGTCGCTTCTTGGCCCTTATACAGGTTTCTCAAGAGACATGTGAGGTGGTCTGGTACTCCCATCTCTTTAAGGACCTGCCATAGTTTGTTGTGATCCACACAGTCAAAAGCTTTAGCATAGTCAATGAAGCAGAAGTAGATATTTTTCTGGTACTCTCTTGCTTTCTCCATAATCCAGCGAATGTTGGCAATTTGATCTCTAGTTCCTCTACCTCTTCGAAACCCAGCTTGTACTTCTGGTAGTTCTCTATCCACGTACTGTTGAAGCCTAGCTTGTAGGATCTTGAGCATGACCTTGCTATATACACGTGCCCCCGCGTCAGGCCCCGGCCGCTGAGCTGCGCGTGCCGGAGCTGGGCCAAGATGCTGGCCGTCCCCCTGCGGGCTCCGCGCCGGCCGGGCCCGCCACACATGAGGCCCGCTGCCGCCGGCGGTGCTGCTCCTGCTCCTCCTACCGCTGCCGCCATAGCTGCCTCCTGCCCCTGGACGGAGACAAACAGGAAGCGCTCCTCCTCCCAAGCGCTTTGTACCCACCGCCTCCCAGGTTGTGCCACAGCGCCACCAGCAGGCCGCCTGTGCACAACGCTCAGTCGGCCTCCTCCCGCCCTTTCCCGATTGGTGGGGGAAACGGAAAGAAAGTGCGCACGTCTCCCCGAGAGGCCGATGGGAAGTGTAGTCTTGGTATGGCCGGCGAGCGAAGGGGAGAAAGCAAAAAGACATGTTGGGTTGGGTAGCGGCAACACGGAACGTGGAGCTGTCTTCTCTGCTCTAAAATGCAGGATTTCCAGGATGTTTTGTGATCCGCCTCTTATAAACGAGTACACGTGCGCTGCCTTTTTTAAAAAGACAATTAAATTAAATTAAATTAATGAGCAGGGTTCCATTAATCATCATGATAAAGGATTTATGCGTACTTCTGAATGCTCGTTGAATGATAGCCTTAGACTACCATAATGAAATAGTAGATATCACTTGATTTTGAGTTCTACTTTATTACCATTACCATTATCTATCAGCATCTAGTGCACCGCTCCAAGGTCTAAGCTGCCACAGAACCAATCCACAGTGAAGCAGACTCGGGCTTTGCCTTTTAAAATGATGGCTTTGGAGAAAAAGGTATATCTTTCAGAGCACATCCCTCCACAGTACTCTTCTGATCGCCTATCCCCTTGTGAAGTCCTTCCAGTTTCCATTCATTCGCAACGTGTCACTACAGGTACTGCTCTACGGCATGCAAGAGCTGTGAACTTGGAAAGTGCTTTCAACAGAAACCTCCCTTTTCAGCTTTTCACATCCCGCAGTCTGGAAGCTGCTGTTTAGAAGTGAGTCTAGAGATGCTAGCCTCTAGGTGGGACGTGGGAATCACCCGGAATTACAGCTCATCTGCAGACGACAGAAATTGAGAAAATTGATGCTTTTGAGGATGGACTCAATGGCATCACACCCCACTGAGGACCTTTTCCTCCCAGGCCCCATCCCCAAATCTCCAGGAGTTTCCCAACCTGGATCAGGCAACCCTACCCCCATCCCCTGCTCGTGGCCAGGGGGGACCTGGGAACCCTAGCAGATGACTCCTGTATTTTATGCTGATAAAGAGCCAAAACACAACAACAAAAGGAATTGCCCTTTTGAAAAGTACGCAGACGGACTTTATTTAGCACAGAACAAGACAACCTTAGCCGGCTCGCAGGCCGGCTTATATCCCCCGTGAATCCACCACCCAGAACACCCCCCCCACTTCCCAATAGGTTCTAACTAGTGGGCGAGTCCCATAGGCACTCGGCCGGGAGCCTAGCCCTCTGATTGGTGTGGGCTAGGATCCACATTATCCATTGTTTATCTGAGCAAAGCTCGACGTTTGCGCTTGACTGCGTGGCACCCACACTGACCATGCGGTTGGAACAGGATACATTACACCTTTATCAGAATGTATACTCTAAATATTTTTGTATGGAGGCATAAGAACATAAGAGCCCTGCTGGATCAGGCATGAAGGTTACAATGGGACTTGCCTCAGAAGCCTGTGGTGAGCATCTTTGTGTTGTAAGAAGGTGGGGAGGAGCAATGAATGGAAGAACAGTTTCACTACTCCCATAGTGAGAATAGAAGGTGTTTAATAATTGTTTGCACCTTATTGTCCCTGCAGGTTATTATGAACGGAGATTGAGGCAGCTTTTCCAAAACAAGTGATTTCATTTTATTCTGCTTATAACAACACTAGACAAAATACATAGAACAAGGCTGACATATATGATTTGAACAGGCAAAACCACACCCAACAAACAGATAACAACCAATCAGAACACAGAGCTCGGAACCAATGAGAGTGGTTCCCACCGAAGTCAAAGGCTTCTCTGATTGGCCTATTTGTCAATCCATGCAAATCTATGTTTAATGGAACTGTGTTTAAGCTAATCACTGCTTTATTTACTTAAGACACAACAAGGTAGTACTCTGAAAGGTACTATAGAGAGCCAATGTGGCATGGTGGTTAAAGTGTTAGACTAGGATCTGGGTAAACCCATGTCCAATTCCCCACCTTGGGCCAGTCACACTCTCAGCCTAACCTACCTCTCAGTGAGGATAATGGTGTAAGCCACTTTGGGTCCCCATAGGGGAGAAAGTATGAGAGGGACTATGGTTCAGTGGTAAAGTCTTTGCTATGCATACAGAAGACCTATTTTCAATCCCTGGCATCTCCAGTTAAAAGGACCAGGCAGTAGGTGATGGGAAAGACCTCTGCCAGAGGCCCCGGAGAGCTACTGCCAGTCTGAGTATACAATACTGAACTTGATGGACCAACGGTCTGATTCAGTATAAGACAGGTTCGTGTAAGTCTTAAAGAACTTGGAGTCTAGCAAAATTGGTGGTGTGGCCAGGTCACTTTGGCTGAAGAATTTTACTTACCTGGCTGGAGCTGGAATGGATCCTAATCAAACCAGGCCCCATTAGCCAGAGCCATAATTAGCTAATTTTTGCCAGAAGCAACAATATAAAATGGTGACCCCTATACTTTCAACATAGTTATTTCAGTAAAAGGTAAATAAACACAAGAGTAATAACAACACATTTATTTTAGTCATGATATACTTTTTCTGCGCCCCTCAGCTTTGTGCACCTGAGGCAAGGGCCTCACTTGCCTTGACCTTGAGACAGCTCTGCTATTAGCCAGCCCATAGGCCTTTAGAACTACCAGGGAATGACACCAGCACACGTGCAGGAGTAAGGAGCCCCTGTAATCCGGTTAGGCAGGAAAGTCCTAAAGAGTATGTAGCCAGAAAGCTTGCTTGCAATGTTCTTTAGGAATTAGTGAGTCCAGAAATATTTTTGTTCTGGATATAAAGTCCTGGGATATCATCTTGACTACCGTACTAACTTCAGAATGAACTTGCTTCTTGGTCCTTGCTCGCCTATGGTTAAGAAAGCACAAACTCTCTGACAGAGGAAGGAAACATTTTTTAAAAGAGGCATATGTGAGGCAAAGCACAATTTCTTCCCAAGGTTCAATGTGAATATTGGTGGGCATGCTCCAGCTTTGCAGGTGTCTGTAATTAATTCATCTTGTCCACAGGATCTTATCTCTGTGAAGGCTGAAGTCAAGAATGTGGCAATTAGTTTGTTAGGTGGGAGGGGGAGCAGGAGTGATGATGCAACCTTCTAGAGAATTCCTGTGAAGATGGGCCCTGCTTGGATTTGGGGTATCACCTGACACCAGAGGGTCAAAGAGTATAATGGAGATAAAGGAAAGGGATGGCTGACTTGGACAGAGGTGAGGACTATGCTGAATCATAGAAGAACACTTGACCCTCTGTTCCTTTGGATTCTGAAATCCTGTGACTCTGCCATCCAATGTCAGGTATCAATGTGCTAGACAGAAGTCAGCTTTTATTGTTTTATGCTATTTAATCAAGCAGACTGTGTTGCCTAATGGTATTTTTCCTATTTCTTTTGTTATCAACCCTTTTCTATTCTTTTAAGAAAAGGTCTGGTTTCTTGTGTGAATGCAGCTTCAAGGGCCCACAAGTCTGAGCACTGCTAGCCTGTCAGAGGAACACTAACTCAGGGGGACCCAGGTCTGGGTCTTGACAGGATATGTTAAGGGCGGAGTCAGAATCTGAGAACTGCAGTGTGATATAGGAAGTGTCTCACTACAGGGGTTGGGGGTTTTTTGCTCTCCTTCTGTTGCTTTCCAAAGCACATGTGCTTCAGCTAAGAACTTACCACATTTTGAAAAACTATATATCTTAGAAGTATATGCCATAGCTAATACCAAGGAAACAGGAAAAGGAAGTTCAAATAAAATATGTTTATTGAATCCAGCATCTCTGAGTCAAGTAATTAGGAAAAGGAAATCATGTGTTGTCCAAGAAGACCTGCCCTAAAACTGCTAATTTTGAGTTAAAAGGTTGACTGGGGCAGCTCAAGAGGGGGATTCTTCTTTCTTTCTGTTTAGAGTTTATTTGCTCCTTACAGCATTCAGAGGGAGGGTCTGCAGAGTCTTTCTGCCCTTCACCTTCTCTTTTATCTGAAGTTCTCATCAAGGTGAATTTCTTACTTCTTTTCAGAGAATAGAATTCCCGGATTAAATCTTCAACTTCCCATTGCTCTTCCTTTTGTTTCTTGCAACAGTGCAAGGCAGCCGGGTCTATCGGATGAGCTTCTGTATTGAAGATGTATCCACCGGCACCAAGAACACATTCACCATATGGTGTCAGCACGACATCAAAGGAGGACCCGTTGTTATGAATAAAGTTATCTGAGTCAAACAACAGATACAAATATTTCACCGTTTCAGCCAAGAAGAAGGACTCCATGCGGTTATCCAATCTGTGATCTCTCAGGTCTTTAATCTAAAAAAAGAACGAGAAGAGATCAGGGGCTATTTCAAAACCTGACAATTGTTTCAGCAACTCTGTTACAATTGTACCAGAGCAGCATACAATGGGAGGAATAATGAGATTAGAAACCAGTAGTGTTGAATCAGATGCTGCGTGTGGTCCATAGGAGACACATAAAAAGTATATGCATTATGTTAGTCTAATGTTTGATGGTGGGAAAGAAGCTTGAGGGGGACCCCTAAGAAACACAAGAAAAATTTCCTTTCCAAGACTCAGTTGATCTGGCCATGTTTTTACAACCTTGTGGCTTGACTACTGTAATGTGCTCTGTGTTGGGCTGTCCTTGAAGATAACTTGGAAACTGCATCTCGTTCAGAATGCAGTAGCCCAATTATTGTAAGAGGCTAGCTGGCAGGAATATATCTTAAAACAGCTATGCTGGCTGCCAGTTTGTTTCAGAGTCTAATTCAAGGTGCTTTAAAGCCCTTCATGGCCCAGGACAAACATGTCTAAGGGATCATCTCCTCCCATATGTCCTTGTGTGCCAATGATGGTCTTCAGGCTGTCACCTTCATTAACCACAGCCAGGTCCATTTCCACTGTAGCTCCCACCCTGTGGAATGGGCAAGGAGAAGAAATCTTCAGGTGGTGCTGCAAGGCCATTTTTATTCACCAAGACTTTAAGTGGGATATAAATAGCAAGCAACTTGGGGGGGGGGATCTAGAATTTTATTTTGCTTTTTAATTATAATGCTTTAACCATGATGTGTAAGCTTCCTTGCACAACAAGAAAAGGTGGGATACAGCTATTTTAATAAAAAATTCAGGAGAGACACTTAACTGTTGCAAAGCCACAATCAACCTTGCTGATCTTCTCTATTGCTTCTACAACATCTCTGCCCAGCTCCAACAGGGTAGGATCTTGTGTAGCACGATATAAATACATTGCACTCTCAATTAGTTCTGAAAAACCCAAACAAATATTACAGACTGTCAGCATAGTTTCCCCCCTCAAAATGCATTCGGATAACCCACAAAGAAGTTGAATACAGGGGTCTGCTATCACCTTAAGACAACAAGGCACTATTGCCCTTTTACTGCTGCCACGTCTGTAGCCAGGCAACACCCTGCCCATGTGGGACCTGTTCCAATATTTTGGTCATTACAGAAAGAGGTCAAACCACAATTGAAATGGGAATATTGCCATGCTTTTTAATGCACCATGGGATCTGCAGCCTTGACCAGTCACAAAGCGAATTCCAAAAGGAAGCTACTATACAGGCATCTGGAGTATCGGTTTGCATAAGCCTTATACACAACAAATGTACTATACAGATCATGCTTACTTCGTACTTACCAGGTCTAAGTGGGTATCCTTCACGTTTTTCCACTGTATAGCCCTGGGGAATGTTATAGAACTCAGGTAGGCCACCGAACTGCCTCCAAACAGTGTAATAATTGAGCAATGTTCGCATTGCATTATCTGTATCTCCAATAAGGCTCTGGGAGAAGACAGAAAAACCCAGGAAGATAACACCGTAAACCAGTGTGGTGTAGGAGTTAGGATGTCTTAGGGATCTGGGAGACTCAGGTTCAAATCCCCACAGTCATGAATCTTGTTGGGTGGCCTTGGACCAGTCACTTTCTCTCAGCTTCACCTACCACAAAGGGCTGGTGTGAGGATCGAATGGAAGAGGGAAGAATGAAATACACTACCCTGAGAACCTTGGAGGAAGGGCAGGATACAAATAACTGGGGATTGACCATGACACACTAAACAGTAAACATCTCTCTTAAGCATAGGCAGTACTGACCTGCTAATAAAACCAACCCACAATGAATAACTAATCATATTCTGAAAATATGGTTTAAAAAGGGTTGGAAATTAAGGAAACCTGAGTGCCTCAATGGCTAAACGGTCCATTTCACATTTGAAAATTTTAACCTAAGCAGTTTGGGTGTTATTTCAAGATTAATTTATGAAACGGCTCCTTTTGTTCCTGTACAGGAATAGCTTTGTTAGATTTTCCGTGGGAATCTTGGATGATACCTCAGAGAAGACTGACGGGGGCCAGAATTTGCTTTCTTGCATCCTTCCTGGTACTGCTGACGTGGCACAAAGAAGTTTCCCAGAGACTGATACCAACCCACGTTTTTTTAAACATACACTTCTGGTTGTCTAGAATAATTTAATAAAAACTTTGGAAGCAATCCAATTTTTACTGTATTGATGGGTCTAGAAAATAGATCAGCAGTGGAAACATGATATCCTTTGGCAGCAGCTGTTACCTGTAAACCAGGCCAGTACGCCTCGAGGGACTGGAAGACTGGCATCGAGACGGTCCCTTTGTACATCTGAACCCAGAGGTACCAATCGTCAAATTTTGTGTAGTTCTGTATGGCTTTGTTATAATCTACAGAAAGAAGTTCAAGTCAAAAGCAATTATTAAAATGGGATACGGAACGTAACTTCTGAGTACAGCAAAACAAGCAGGATTCATATTCTCAGCTCCATAATCTTTGAAGGATTAAATTAGGAGGAATATTGTTAGAATATTCCTTGACATCTTGCAAACAGAACGGCCATACAAAGGTGTTAGAACAGCAGGAAGCGTACTTGCAGGACCAGACCTCACAGTGCAGACATTAGTGCTCAGAAAGCATCCTAAAGGCCATTGGGGGATACACAAGCAGCATCAGCTCAACCACAGTGAAAGCTTACTGATGTTGGCGTTGCTGCTGTTAGTTCAAGTGCAGGGTTTATCTGGCAAGAGACTGGAACAGACTTCAGGTCCAAATGTGTTTTTCTGGTGACAACTCCCCTTCAAAGGCTTAGATGAAGAATGGGGAGCTCTGCGAGAAAAAGGGCCAGGATTTGAAGCTGTGGGTAGGAAGGCAGTTGGATGGTTCCTTGCCAAATCTGGAGCCATTAAGAGACATGGGCCAGAAGCAAGTGGGGAGGAGCATCTTTGATGCAGACAGGTTTCTTATCCAACATCTGGATATACGGCGCTGACAATAAATGTAACACTTTTTTGTGTCTGAATCTAACGGAAGCCATTATAGCAAGAAAGACAGTGTCAGTCTCTTACCGAGGAACATGGACATCAGCTCCTCATCCTGCAAGAGGATGGCTCCTTTAACAAGATACTCGAAGTAGGAATCTACTCCGGCTCCAATGCCAGCATCCTGGGCCACCCACTTGGCAGTTACCACATCAATGTGGTTACCCACCTGAGGGGGGGGGAGAGAAACAGAGAGACAAATTAGACAATTAAAACTCACTTATTAAGAGCTACAGTTTGCTTTTAGAATGATCCCATATTTCCATACCCTTCAAGCAGACCGCCCACTAAGATATACTAGATTTTTCAAAAGCATCTAAGAGAATTGTTAACAGTACAGCCACAAAAGTGTTGACTTCTTAAAGCCATTCTTAAACCTCATTTAGTACCAAAAGTGTACTTTTTAAAAAAGCTCTCCATTCTATACTCTTAAAGAGAGATTTGAATTATAAAAATGGAAACAAAATATGTTTAAACTACCATAACGTTTTTACTCACCAAGCCAATCTCAGACCGATTTTTCCAAAGGGTCTTAAGAGCTTTTCTGGCAACATCTTCAAATACTGGATCACCCGTAAGATGACTCAAAGTAGCAAATTCCACTATAAATGTACCAATACCGGCAGTGCAAGTCACTGGAGTCTCTCCAGGGTTGACTCCATGTAATAAATTAACTGTCCCATATGGCATTCCAGTTGGGGTCTGAAAGGCTGTAAAACAAAGGTGTGTAAGATCACAGGGCTGGAAGACCATCCTCCTCCCACTGTATGGCAATCTGCTTTCTGGTGTAAAGCTAGGCAGCCTGAGAAACTCAGCTTCACTGAAATACAAATATCAGTGCTTCTAGCTCTCATGGCTGTAGAGAAAAGCTTGAAGCTACACGGCAAGGTGTGTTCTGCATAACCATTCATTTTCCAGAGCCTTATAGGGACCAGTGCTATTTAATTTGGGGACAGCAGTGTAGTGGCCAAGTTGGCTAGTGATCCCAAATCATTAAGGATGATGGAAACCAAGGAGGACTGTGAAGAGCTTCGGAAGGATCTCTCTAAACTATCTGAGTGGGCAACAATGAAGTACAGTATTTGTAAGTAGAACAAAGTTTGAGTCCAGCTGCACCTTTAAGACCAACAAAGTTTTATTCAAGGTATGAGCTTTCATGTGCACACACACTTCCTCAGATACATTGAAATGGAAGCTAATAGTCCATACATATAGGCAGAGGGTGAACAGCAAATCAGCATACAACATAATGAAGATGTTCTAACAGCTACAAAGACCAACATGGCTGCCTACCTGGATCAGTGTTCAGAATTGTAAGCCGAAGGTGATACACATAGGAGCCAAAAAATCCCTCCTTTTATATATACGTTGCTAGGACCTGAACTGGCTGAGGCCGAGAAGGAAAAAGATCTTGGGGATGTAGTGTATAGCTTGATAAAACAATGTCAACTCAGTGTGTGGCAGCAGCAGAAAAAGCAAACACCATACTGGGGATTATTAGGAAAGTGACTGAAAAATAAAACTGCCAATATTGCAATCCCTGTGTATAGAGCAATCGTACTGCCTTATTTGGAATACTGTTACAGTTCTAGTCAAAGGATACTGCAGAACTAGACCTCTTTTCTTAGGAGGAAAGAGGCTGAGACTTTCCAGTTTTAAGAAAAGGTAACTAAGGAAGGACATGATAGAGGTTTATAAAATAATGCATGGGGAAGAGAAAGCAGATGGAACTTTTTCTCCTTTCCCCATAATACTAGAACTTGGGGCACCCAATAAAGTTGACAGGCAATACCTTCAGGACAGGCAAAAGGAAATACTTCTTTACTCAATGAGTGATTAAATTGTAGAACTCACTGCCAGTGGATATACTGATGGGCATGAACATCGATTACATCAAGAGGGAATTAGACAGATTCATGAAGGAGAGGTCCATCGATGGCTCCTAGTCAGATAACTGAAAGGAGCCTCTATATACAGAGGCAGCAAGTCTCTGAATACTAGTGAGAGGAAGCAGCATCAGGGGAAGGCCTCAGCTCTGTGCCGTTTGCTGGCACTCCAGGGGAACTGGTTGGCTGCTGTGTGAAACAGGATGCTGCACTAGATTGACCATTGGTGTGATCCAGCAGGATCCTCTATGATCCATGGGTCCATGGGTTTGTTCAGAAGTTAGCCATATAATTTCCCTTTTGTTCCTTTCTTTAGAATCATCAAAGAATCATAGAGTTGGAAGGGACCTCCAGGGTCATCTAGTCCAACCCCCTGTAGAATGCAGGAAATTCACAAATACCTCCCCCTCCACACCCCCAGTGACTGCTGTTCCATGCCCAAAAGACGACAAAACACCTCCAGGATCCCTGGCCAAACTGGCCTGGATAAAAATGGCTTCCTATCCCCAAAGTGTCAATCAGGATTTCCTTGGGTGTGTAACCCTTCCTCGCCTCCTTCTCATGATCTGCCTAAGTTCACAATCTGCATTGGTGTCAGATGGCCTCTGTTTGAAAACCTCCAAAGAAGGAGAGCCCACCACCTCTCGAGGAAGCCTGTTCCACTAACCACTCTGCCAGAAAGGTCTTCCTAATGTTTAGCTGAAAACTCTTCTGATTTAATTTCAACTCATTGGTTCTGGTCCGAAGTTCTGGGGCAACAGAAAACAACTACATAGCATCCTCTATATGACAGCCCTTCAAGTACTTGAATATGGTTATCATATTACCTCTCAGTCATCTCCTCTCCAGGCTAAACATACCCAGCTCCTTCAACCTTTCCTCATAGGACTTGGTCTAAAGACCCCCCACTATCTCCATTGCCCTCCTCTGGACACATTCCAGCTTCTCTATATCCTTCTTAAAATTGTGGTGCCCCAAACTGAACACAATACAATAAAGTGTTAGCAATTTGGATATGTTTTACGTAGAACAGAACACCCTGCTCTGAAGAGCTTACAATACAAACTCAGTACAAGGGAGGTGATATGGAGATTTCTGGGGCAAAAGTTTACATTCATTTCGGAGATGTTTCCTTGGGCTTAGTTTAGTAGGAGATGGGGAATAGTAGGTCATGTCAAAAGCCTCACTGAAAGGGTGGGGTCTGAGAAAGGTTTTGAGGGATATAAAATTAGGGTCCTTTCCGCACTAGACCTTAAATCCTGGTTCAACCCTGTCCCCAAACTTACATTCTACACTAAAGGTGAGTTCACCCCTGTAATTATCTTGGGGTATTTTTTGTTTCCACATTACATTGAGGTCACCGCCATTTCGCCCCACACTTGTCCCGGGATAAACGGATGCTGTTATAACCAGGGATAAATGCAAGGTATTGTGTCACGAGTTGAACTCTGATAAAACCAGGGATGAGATCAGAGGTCATTTCGGGGGGGAACACAGTTCCCCCGGGTGAGGTACAGGGGGCGGGGCACATGACGAAGCCCCGCCCCCTGCTTCCGGCCGCCCCGCTTCCGGCCCTCATTCAGCCAGGAGGAGGCAGGAGAAGAGGGAGGGTAAGTTGCTTCCTCCCTGCCTCTCCCCACCCCTGCCTGCCTGGGGCCAGGGAGGGCCTTTCTGGGGCTTCCTTGCACTCCCACCGGACTTGCAGGTCCACCGGGGCTCGGCAGTGGAGCTGCAAGGCCGGCGACGGCCGGGACCGTTGGTGGCGGGGTGTGTGTGTGGCCTTATGACACACTTCCGGTGATGTCAGGGGGTGTGGCCTTATGACACACTTCCGGTGATGTCAGGGGGTGTGGC